TTAGCCTGATACAACTCCTCAAGCTTGTCCCATAATGCTTTTGCCGTCGAAATTCCATGCACATTAGCAAGAACATTCTTGGCCAGACACAGTCGTATCGCGCTTGCCGCTATCAAATCCAGTTCCTCCCAATCTTCATCGCTCATTCCAGATTTGCTCACACCAGCTTTTTCTTCAGTGCTGCTGGTAGCACTGCCTTTAGGAATTTCCGAGCCCTTCAAAGCTTTGTGTAACCCCGACTGAATCAGCACGTCCTTCACTTGCACTTGCCACAAGCCAAAGTTGATTTTTTCGTCGAATTTCTCCATATCAAATCTCGCCAGATTCGATATCTTATTTCCAGACATCTTCGTGAATCAGTGAACACTAACTTCGCAGAAAACCGAGCAGAAACCTTTAATAGTACTGATCAGATAAATTCTCAGGGAGGGTAGCGACCTGCCCCCTAAAGAATTATCCTTCTAAGTAAGCTCCCAGGAAAGGCTGGTGGGGTCACAACGGTCCCACTTAAAAAACCAGTCTCCTAGACAAAACCTACTTACACAGTAATTATTCCCCACTGCCCAAAAAACTCCTTTGCACACAAGCTCCACCCGTCACTGGCTCCACCGCACGAAGAGACCTCTTTGGTATCTTTTCTGATGTGGAAGATCAGACAAAACTGCAACCACAGAGCATACTCAGAATACCAACTAGGCTAACCTCGCTCTTGATACCACTTGTTGGGAATTCCAACCACACCGAAACTCCGCCCAAGATCCTCTGAAAATAAAAAACTGGAGAACACAAAATTTAACGTGGAAAACCCTCTGTTAACGAAGAGGGAAAAACCACCAGGGCAACAAGACCGTAGAAAATTCACTATGTAAAAAAAAATTACACAATTTTTCTACCACTCACTTACCCAAAATTACCCCACAGAATTTTCTACTCGTTAACCCTAACTCTCACCCTAAGGAATTTTTACCCTAAGGAATTTTTTACCAGAGATTAATTGTTAACACAATAACTTTGTGAGATGATTTTACATAAGAAGTAGCACTTTCTTATATAGGAGAAAAATCTCCCCCTCTTTCATTCCACAATCGATGTGGGACAAAGAGCAAAACCCAACACCTAAGACTGGTTCTTTACGACCTTCGAGATCGTCATCCAGAAGTTCTGTGTCATGACTTTGCACTGCTAAACCCTCTTAAGAGGTTCAACTGAACACCTTGGACGTTATGGTATCCCACTAACAAGTATGCTTATTATTGCACAATAATAAATTTGTACTTGATAACTGTTATAACTTGGTTAAAACACAGTTTTGGAAGGCCTCAAAACGTGCTAACCAAGAGGCCTTGTCCCTACTTTCAATTCACCAAACTTGGTGACAAAAGGCATAAGCATGCTTTAAACATTCAAAATCCTTTTCTTCACCAAACTTTGTAAAACAATAAAAACACGTATTAGACATGCTAACTGAAAACTATAACGCTCTAAGTATAAAGAGAGGACTTAACATTTTTAAGCAAAATACTTCTTGAGGTGGGCCACATTCCACGGCTTAGGTAAGAGCTCTCCATGTAGATCTCTGAGCTCATATGCTCCACCTACAAAGACTCACTCCACTTTGTAAGGTCCTTCCTGGTTAGGCTGTAACTTGCCCACATGCTTGAGTGCATTTGCTTGTCGCCAAATCAGGTCGCTGACCTGCAACTTATGGGTATGCATTTCCTTGTCGTGTGTCAACCTCCATGCGTACTTTAGCTTGATCGCGGAGCTCGTCCACTAGGTTTAGCACTTCCTTTCTTAGCTTGGCATTCTCTTCTTCTTGGTATGCTAACACCCTTTCTAAACTTAGACTTGCCTCAACAGTGATAACAACTTCCATCCCATATACCAGACTAAACGTGGTCTCTCATGTGAAAGCCCGCGGGGTTGTTTTGTGAGCCTACAAGATCGAGTCAAGATCGTCGATCCATACTCCCATTGCACTTTCTAGGCAACCTTTGAGTCCGTTCAGAATGGACGTGTTCGCGACCTCGGCCTGGCCATTTGCTTGATGATGGGCTATGAAAGCGAAGTGTTGTGTAATGTCGATGTCCTTGCACTAGGTCGTTATCTTGGCCTTTGAACTAAGCTCCGTTGTCAGAGACAAGTACTCTCGAAGTGGCATATCTGAAATAGATGTTTTGAAACATTCACTTGATGACCTTCTCGTTAGTGATTCTTGCCAATGGCTCGACTTCAATCCATTTTGTGAAGTAGTCGATTGCGACAAAGAGAAACTTCATTGTCTGGTTGCTTGTGGCAAGGGGCCCACTATATCCATTCCCACTGGTCAAAAGGTAAGGGCGAGCTCATGAGGATCATTTCCTCAGTCGATCGGTGGATCAGAGGTTTGTTGTTGGCACTATAAACATTTGTTGACGAGGTCTCCGGACATAGCCTTCATCTTAGGCCAAAAGTAGCTTGCTCGAAGTACCTTCCATACTAGTGTATCTTGGATAAAAGAACTGTGTTTTATTTTTTTTTATTTTAGAAATACTTTTCGTACTTAGAGATTAACTACTAATATAGCTGGGTGAGATTCTAGTTAGATAGAAGTCTACACGTTCGTGGCCAGAGGATTAGTTAAGGTTAATTTTGGTATAGTTTTGGCAAGACTAGAAAGGAAATCGAGTCGTGTAAGTCCAAGTTATACTTTATGCGCACAAACTTAGCTATTAATCAAAGGACTCTGAGAGGTAGTAGGACGCTCCCCGAATAGATTTTTAAGTTTATTGTTTTCGTTTTTTATTTTTGGTGTTAAAAAACACTTGCGTACTCTTTTTACTCTGAAGTATTTCTTTTAACTTTTAGTTTGATCTCTCTAACAAACCAAAAATCTCATTATGGTATCTACGCTTTTAATTCTCCGTAATAATTTTACTCTCTTTATTCAAAATTATTGATTTTGTAGATCAGTTTAATTGAAATATATTATGAAAAATATACACATTTAATTTATATATGTTGTTCAACTAAAATATTTCCAGCATACCGAACGAGGAATCCAACTAAGTCATCAATTTTAATAAATACCTTCTCATTTATTGGCCCAAGTACATCACACAAGAATATTACATTGATATGATAAACACCTATAAACATATATAGGCAAATTAATCATAAATTTCGTATAAACATACTCACACATGCATAAATATATGAATGCGGCAAGCAGATAAGCAATCGGGCTCCTAATTAGAATCAGAAAAAAGGGTAGCCACAACAGAACAAATGTTAACGAGCTTGAGCATGTCCCCATTCTCCTTGGCCATGGGGGACGGAGCCTGGCCGAACCCATTATCGCATGCCATAATCTCGTTCTCAGCCATGGCGGCCAGCTGGTCGAAACCGCAGTACGTCTCGGAGTCGAGGTTTCCAAGCACTTCCATCATGGCCTGGCCTGCCTTCGTGTAGCTCTCCTGGCAGGCCTTGAAGCCCGCCAGGATGTTGGGCATATCGTTCCCCCAACTGTTGATTCTCGTCTGGATCAGACCCAAGTTTTCGCGGGCTTTGTTGTAAGCAAGGCCGTTGGCTATGTAGGCAAGGACCACCGAGTCGGCCGACGCAGCCCGCGAGTCGGAAAATAGAGCATGTTTGCAGTATTTTGCGTCGGTCGTGTTTGAGCAGACTTGGACGACTAGCGATGTACCCGATTGTGATATTATTGGTCGGCCGGCCTCCGAGTAGGAGAGAAGGCAAGCCAAGGCGACCAAGAAAGCCATAGTTTTAGAGAAGGCCATTTTTTTTTTTTTTTTTTCTTTAACTTTTTCTCTCTATTGATGTTTAAGAGAGAAAAGATTAAGTTGTATGTGAGGTGTGGGATTAGGAGTTTATAGATTCACATATTTATAGAAAGAAAAGATGCATGGTGGGATGTACATTATTGCTTGGTGCGGTTAGGCACGTCTTTTTTATCATTTCGGTTTGGATTCTTTGTGAAAATCTATGTTCTTTCTACCGAAATAATGTGAATCTTATAATGAATGTGTATATTGAAAGTTGAAGAAAATCTAAAATTGATCAATTTAAAAGAAGTTTTGATTGGAAATTGATTTGAATATAAATCTCAAAATTTAGTTCGTTTTTTATTCATACCCAAAAATTATAGGATTAATTTTATAATTTTTATCTAGGATGACCTAATCGCATAGGTTATATTTAGACATGGCCAACTGTCGGACCGGTTCACGACCCACCGGGCCTCAAAACTTGGGCTCGGAATCAGCCCGACTATAGTGAATCGGCCTGAACCCGGCAGTTCATAAAAAAAAACACAATGTCAGATCCGTCTTTCGGCCTGGACCTGACGGGTTTAAAGAAAACCAAGACCTGGAACCAGCTCGATATTACCAGGGATCCATTTTAAGCACCCGTACATACGGGCCGGTTCTGGGTAGGGATACAAATAAAACGAGCGGCTCGCGAGCACTACTCGAGCTCGAGTTTGACCAAACTCGAGTCGAGCTCGTGCCCAGATATCGCATTGTCAAGCGGCTCGAGAAACTTGTTAAATTACTAAAATACCCATTATATATATATTAGCATAGGTGCTTAATGGTAATTTTATTTTTTCACCTAAAAATTTTAAAGTTGAGCTCGAACATTTTGATTTCGAGTCAAGCTCGAGCCAAGCTCAAGCTATTGTAATTTTTTATAGAGTCGAGCTCGAGCAGCTAAAAAGATCAATCCTACTCGGTAAGACTAATGCTCGACTCGTTTGTAACCTTAGTTCCGAGTCGACCCGTCAGTCCGGGTCAACACTGGGCAGGTCTAGTTGTAGGAGATTTCTAAGGTTCTCGTTCTCAATTTTAACTCCCAGCTCTTATCCAATGATTTTGTGTCACTTGCTTCAAGCTATAAAGTTAACCTGCTGCATCCAGCGGTGATCATTATCCATTTAACATTGTAATGCAAGTGTAAGCGTCCGGGTCCGGTTTGGAGTAGATCGGTTCTTGTCCTTGCCGGTAGGACGCCGAAAACCTGCAAATAACTCTCACACCGGGGGTTGGGTCCGGTGAAGAGCCTCCGATGCTTAAGTCAGTATGTGTATGAGTATACTGGAATTTAGAGAATGAATAGA